TCCCTTGGTTTCTGGCCTGGTCTCTCCCAGAATATCTTTGAGTAGATTCGTCAGCCTTCTCGCTCAATATTTCGCAATTTGGGCTAGCGGTGCACCTTCGTGCGGTGGCATCGCTATATATATATATATATATATATACACACATCTATAGATGTATTCGCCTAGGCTCTTAAGATAGGATTTGGGGAATTCGGGTACAGCCTGGATTTTGCTGTCGGGCTAGCGTCGTGCTGGTGAATCGTATGTATGGCCTTGCGCTGTCCTGACTGCGCTCGGGTGGCTAGGAACCATGCTTGAAGTTCTCAGCTCGGCGCGAGTAATAAACACAAAGTCCCTGATAATAAGGTCGACTGCCACCTCTCGCGTCGGGTCTTGGCTCAACCCTGCCCGCCCGTTTATATTCCCACCCTGCTGTGAGGCCCAGGGTAGAGGTTGGATTTCGCTGTGGGGCCAGTGTCGTGCTGGTGAAAAGTATGTTTGGCTCTGCGCTGTCCTGACTGCGCTCGGGTGGCTAAGAACGGTGCTTGAATTTCTGAGCTCGGCGCGAATAACAAACAGAGGGTCCCTAATTAGTGCCCCCCTTCGCGGCCCTCTAGAATGGCATCTTGGGGACCCGTTGTAGCGTTTTTGGGACGCTCTTGGGCGCTTTGGGGGCTGTCTTGGCCTTTTTGGGCTTCTCTTGTTGCCCTCTTAGGGCCATCTTGTAGCCGCCTTGAGGCTTCGGAAGGCCATCGAAAACGAAAAGGCGAGATAACAAAAAACATGTACTTCCCTTAGGTGTTGGAAGGATCTTTGCCTTTGGGCGGCTCTCTTGGGGGTATTCCGAGGCCTGCTGGGGCCGTCTTGAGGCAGCTTTGGAGCTTCCAGGAGCATGTTGGAAGCCATCTGCAGCAATGTTGAGCCATCTTGAGCCGTCTTGGAGGCCATCTTGGGTTCGCTGAGGCCTTCTTGGAGCCATCATGGGCCATTTTGGACGCTCCAATCGGTCGCGGGGTGCCCCGTCTGGGTCCAGGGGGCCGCGGGGGCAAGGGGTTATGGGGGAGGGGTACAGCCCCCCCCCCCCCGAGGGGAAGAAGGGGACCTTGGAAGAGGAAGCGCGCTAAACCGTTCACGCCCTTGTGAGATTCCCAGCTCCCCAAGGCGCGCTCTCGACCAGCACAGATGTTACGCACGTGCTGAAACATGCGCCCGCCTGCTGGCGTCGATGCAGCCGCAGCGGCTGCCGCAGCAAGACCAGCAGGAGCAGCAGCAGAGAAGTGGCGACGAGAGCGTCCGCAGCAACGGCAGCGATAGCGACAACGCTCCTGGCGCTTGCCAGCCCCCGATCACGGGGCGCCTCGCGGAGCAGACCGGCATGTTCCCTTCCCGGAGGAGCAGCGTTGAGCAGCGGTGAGCAGCAGGAGCAGTTGGTAAAGCCTCGGGCTGCGCAGAGGCAGCGTCTCCCCAGGTAGTCTCGGCTGGTTTCAACAGTTCCCCAGAGCAGTCCAGGGCGATCTCAACACCCTGGCGCCACTTCCGGCGGCGCCCCTTGAGCGTTCCGCGCCTTAGGGCTGTAGTGTTGACACCGCACCGCACTATTCGGGAGGCCTGTTGAGGCCAGCCCAGGCTGCCTGGGGGGGCTGTCTGTGCGCAACCCGAGGGCCTTACCAGACTTCCTCGCGCTGCGAAGTAATCCCGAGGAGGTCAAAACTATGTAAATGTAAACTGTCCGAGCTCCGCGCGGGTTCCTTGGATCGGCGTTGGGACCCCCCTGGCGGCGCATCCAGCGCCGCCCATGGCACACTCCGCGCACCAGGGCGGCGGGTCCAGCGCCGATCCAAGAGATCCGCCCAGATGGCTGGATCGCGCTGCTGACGCAGGTGCATGGGGCCGTCTAGAATTGGCATTCGCGAGGAGAGCATGGTATATTGAGGCACCGCGGTACCTCCACCTCAGTTCCGCGCGCTGGGCCAGGTTCCTGCCCGACAGAGGGTGCTAGTCTGTCTGTCCTCCACCACCAGGAGCAGCAGCAACAGCAGCAGCATGCAGCAAGAGCACCGCCAGCTCGATCCGATTCGATTTCAATGTCTCACTGATCCGATGCGACCCGACGCTTACATGGGGTCGTTGTGCATCCTGGCGCAGCCGATCCGATCCGAGTTGGACCCCGTGCCGATGTATCCCGAGCCGATGCACGTTCCGATTGGAGCCGACTCACCGATTCGATGCTGATTGATCTTGCCAAGAGCAGCGGCAGCAGCAGCAGCAGCAGCAGCACGCAGAGAGAGCGCCGCCGGCGACTGGCAGCAGCGGTGGCATTGGCACCGGCAGGCCGCGCCCGGCGAGGAGGGAGCGGCAGCGGCGGCAGTGGCGGCAGCGGCAGCGGCAAACAGCGGCGGCGGCAGCGGCAGACAGCGGCAGTGGCAAACAGTGGCGGCGGCAGCGGCGGCGGCAGCGGCGGCGGCAGCGAGAGCGCCGACAACGAGAGCGCCAGCGGCGTCGGCAGATGGCGCGGGCGAGGAGTCGGCGGCGCTGCGGGCGCGGCCACTGCCCGCGCTGGCGCCGCAGCGCGGCGCGGCCGCAGCGGCGACGGCGCCTGCGCCCGCAACGCCAGCGCCCGCGGCGCCGGCGCCCGCGGCGCCAACGCCCGCGACACCAGCGCCCGCGGCGACGGCGGCCGCCGCAGCGGCGCCGGCGGCCGCGGCGGCCGCGCCGCTTCGGGAGCGGCGGGGGCCGCAGGAGCGGCGAGAGCACGAGGACGACGACGAGGACGTCGACGGCGACGACGACGACGACGACGACGACGACAACGACGACGACGACAACGACGACGACGACGACGACGACGACGGCGGCGACGGCGGCGACCATGACGACGACGACGGCGGCGGCGGCGGCGACGACGACGACGAGGACGAGGACGACGACGACAACGACGACGACGACGAAGAGAACGATGACGACGACGACGACGACGACGACGACGACGACGACGACGACGACGACGACGACGACGACGACGGCGATGAGAGCCGAGTTGTTGCCTGAAAACAATCGGGGTGGAGGTCAACCTGAGAGAAGAGGTCAGCGAATTGCCTGTGGCTCACGCGGCCTTGGGATCCACGTGGGGCGGCTTCTCCCCTTTCAGCCAGCAAACCCGCCGCCCGCATTCAACGTTGAGTGCCGCCGGTGACCCAGAATCGGTTGATGTTGAACGATCTGACGTTTCGGTTCACGGCCGATCGTTCAAGGTTGAACGATCCAGCGAGGTGTCAGGAACCAACGCCGAAGTCGGCACGTCTTGAACCTGCCGTACACTGGCCTTGGAGCTACACTGTGCAGCAGCTGGCCGAGCTTCGTGACAGGGCCCTGGCCGACCCGGGCTTTGTGCTGACCCTGGGCTCGAGCTAAACGGTGTTCTGGCGATTTCGTGGACCGTTTTCGTTTTGATGCTGTTTCGCAGCGAAGGCAGAACGAACACCTAGCGAGGGAAGTCGAAACCAAAACGAAGACGAAGGAACACGAAAACGATACCGCGCGCCAAACTCGACATGTTCGTAGCTATCATGGGAAACATCGCTTGGCGCTCCCAACATCAGCATCGCATGCGGCCCCCCGCTGCCGAACTGAGGAAGCCAGGCCCTATATGGCAGAACGGGTACCCAAGCGGAATTCTGGGTATTCCAGGGCGCTCGGTCGGGCAACATAAACAGTTGTTTTGTTTGTGTGTTCGTCTTCCGCGGGCCAAGAACCAGGAGGGGAAAAAACACACAGACACAATTAATCGTCGATTCCCCAGTAAATATGGGAAAATATGGGAAGAGGGGGGGAAGACAAACACACAGAAAATATGGGGAAATCTTATTTGAGTGTATTTGTTTGTGTGTCCTTGGGCCCCTTGGGAGGAAAAGGTACCCATACCTCTACCCCTTCGCCCTGTTCCCCCTTTTCGGGCCTCCTGGGGGGCCTTCGTCGCCACCGCTGGATTCGCCTCGAACTCCTGGTCAGAACGCGCCCCGGGAGAGATCTGGGGAGTGGCGGTGTCGGTACCTTTTGGTTTCCCCAGTTGCCCTCCGCGGCCAGCCTGACAAACAGCTGCATCTGCACAGCAACGGCATCGGCTGGCGCCGAAAGGCGGCACACTGCGGGTCGCCAGGGGCTTCAGGCGTGGTCACCTGAAGCAGTGAGCCAGGGGCGCCTGCCCACGGGGCACGGGGGAGAGGCGTGGGGGGGGGGGCGGGGGGCGATGGAGGGAGGGGAGGAGAGCTGCAGGGTGCGCGCGCCCACCCGAGCTCCGCGTCAGCCCGCTCCGCGCAACAGCACGCGGCACTTGCGGGGGGGCATCCACTATTGAGCGGCAACATTTTACTGCACTTTCGAAAAATAGGTTAAATTCCATCCACGCGCAATATTGCGGCCAGTGCGCAAACTATTGCATCCAGGCGCCAACTATTGCAATTGCGATCAATCTCGTAATATTCCCTATTCTCCCCCCGTCTGATCTTCTTCTCTGCGTGTTCCTCGATGAAGGGCTGCGTGCTAAGCAGGAATACGTTGTTTATACAGGCCCAGAGGAAGGAGTCGATACGAGGTGGAGCTCGTCCGCGCGACAATGTTTTTCTTGCGCTGAGCGCGGGCGCTCCAGAAGCGGCGTGTCTCTGTCACCCAAACTGCGTGCGATCCAGCACTGCACACGTCAGAGATGCCGGGCTTTCGCGCGCATGCCAATGGGTGGGGGGAGGAAGGAATGATTCGAAGCAAACGATGGACGGGAGCGAAGGCCGGCAGAGGCGCCCTGCGTCACCGTTCCCGCGCGGGCCGATTTCGGATCTAGCCGGGACCCCAGGTAAGGGGACCTGGTCAGTGGTAAGGCCTTGGGGCCACTACATTGGCCAGAATCCCAAAACCAGGTCTGCCGCAGCTGGGTTTTATTCGTGTGACGGCAGTTGCCATGAATGGAACGTGGCGGGGGGCGTCCCCCAGTACACATCACTAAACCAGGTCCCACTAAACCCAGTTCTGCCAACGCCCGACGATTTCCCAGCAGATAGCTTCCCCGTCGCCGCCTGCGTAACACGAATCCCGCAGCAACTGTTCACCCCCATCTTACCTTTTCCTCGTCGCGCTCCCCCGTCAAGGTTTGCGACCACTTGGAGCTCCAAAGTGCTGAGCACAAGTGCGCTGGCTAGACGGATCCAGAGGTAGTACCCAACACAATGCGCAGCTCGTCAGCGAGGCGCTTTTTCACTTGCACTGGGCGCGGGCGTTACAGTGGTGGCACATCCTCGCCACCCACCACTGCGTGCGATCCTGCCCGCCCTCCGCCTCCGTCCCGTTCCGCTCTGCTTCCTCCTTGCCTTCCACCTCCTCCCCCGACTAGGGGGCCACATGTGAACCCCACCCTCCCCCTCAGAAATCGTGGGGGGTAGGGGTAGGGTTCACGTGTGGCCCCGTACCGACGGACCACGTTGTCTGGCTGGACAACGGACGCCGATGGTGTGACAGTTCCACCCCGCAGGTATACATCCAGGCCGCCTGCAGGCGTGCGCCGTCTTGCGCACGGAGCGATGGGCGTGCCAAGAACGGGTGGAGCAGAATAGTACGTAGCACCCCGCAGATGCGACAAGAGTGAAGGGGCGGCGGGGACGTCGGCAGTCTGCGAGGCTCTGAAGGAAACTGCCGCAGGCGCATAATTTTGACAAATTATCAGAGTGAGGGGGCCGAACGGTCATTCATTGTCCCTGGGTGCGTCGCTGAACAGGGAATTTGTGGTGAGAATTCTGCTTGTTGCGTTGACTTCTCACTTCTGAAGAATGATTATTGTTGATCCCCCTTCAACGGTGCATGCTGTTTTTGCACCATCAAAGTGTGCCCCTCGAAGCTCGCACTCTGTTTTTTTGACAGGGGAAGTATTTGTGCTCAAACTGTGTACCTGGCCCCCTGGATTACAACAACAACAGCGGCTCCCGCTTTAGACTTCCTCCAAATATACTCAGGACCCCCGCTCCCGTCTGAGATTTCTTTACAATGTACTTAGGATCGGTGCTCCCGCCTGTGACTTCCTCGCACGTTAGTCAGGACCCCCGCTTCCATCTGAGACTTCTCCTCAATATACTCAGGAACGGCGCTCCCGCTTGAGACACCCTGACAATAGAGTCAAGATTTCCTCGCAATTCAATCAAGACCCCCGCTCCCATCAGATAACCCTTTCACATTATATCAAGGAATTGCGCTCTCGCCTGCGATTTCCATACAATGTATTCAGGAATCACACTTTCGACGCTCAGGAATCACGCTGCGCCAAGGACGCCGCCACAATTTACTTAGGAATCGCGCTCTCGCCATACGCAGGCGTCCCGCTTGAATGTCCCACCCGCCCGACCCGCCCGTCAGGGGATCGCCCGCCCGTCGTGGGCTCCCGCCCGAGACTTTCTTCAGGAGCGGCGCTTTCGCCTAGGACTTCTTCGAACGTTCACGCTCTTACCTTCCTGCTCTTCCTCCCTCTTCCTCCTCCTCTCTCTTCTTCGTCCTGCTCTCTCCCTCCTCTCTTCCCTCATCCTCATGTCTCTCTGCCCTATCCCCTCTCCCTCCTCTCCCTCCTCTCCCTCCTCCCTTCTCCCTACCCTCTGCTGCCTCCTCCCTCCCTCTTGCTTTCTTTCTTTCTCTCTCTCTCTCTTTCTCTCTCTCTCCCTCTCTCCCCTCTCTCTCTCTCTCCACCTACCTCTCTCATACGTATTGCTCTCTCTCTCTCTCTCCCTCTCTCTCTCTCTGCCTCTAGTCAACCGCCCCCCTGTTCGCTCCTTCTCTCCTGGCGTTTCCCTCTTCCTTCGCCCCTCCCCCTCCCTTCCTCCCACTTTCCCTCGTTCTCCCCCACCCTCTGTTTTTGCAGGGTCCACACCAATTCCAATGGCGGGCACATGTACGCCCACGAAGGATTGTCCGCGCGTTCAGGTTCGCCCGCCTGTTTAAGCCCGCCGCCCCCCGCAAACAGAAAGAATCCCCCAAAGGGCGTGTGATCGAAGACGAACAGGGTGGGTATCGAGGGTTTGCGGAATTCGTTTTGGATGACACACGGGCAAGTAAGAGCGAACAATCTTAGAATGTTTGTTGGTGTTGTTTGGGGGGGGGGGGGCGCCAGGGCCCGGCGCCCGCTTCTATTCAACCGCAACAACAAAAACAACAACAAAAACAAAAACAACAACAACAACAACAACAACAACAACAACAACAACAACAACAACAGCAGCAGCAGCAACAGCAACAGCAACAACAACAACAAACCAACGAAGCCAACGATAACAACAACATCATCACCAACACTCAGTTTAAGACGGGTCGCTATTACTTCGCCGTGTGTCATTCAAAACGAGTTCCCACACCCTCGATACCCGCCTTTTTGTCTTCGATCACACCCCCTTTGGGGGGATTATTTCTCTTTGCGGGGGGCGGTGGGCTTAGACAGGCGGGCAAACCTGAACGGGCGGACCTTTTTTCGTGATTGCACATGCGCCCGCCATTGGAATTGGTGTGGACCCTGCAAGAAGAGGAGGGGGAGAACGAGGGAGCGTGGGGGGAAGGGAGGGGGAGGCTCGAAGGAAGAGGGAACACGCCAGGAGAGAAGGAGCGAAGAGGGGGTCGGTTGATTGGAGGCAGAGAGAAAGGGGGAGAGAGAGAGAGAGAGAGAGGGAGAGGGAGAGAGCGGGGAAATGTATTTCCAACGAGTGAACGTCACAGGGTCTTGGGCAGAGGTCGCATCGCAAAGTGCAGTCGAGAGTCCATCGTGGATTGCCTTTGGTGCGGTTGAGCTGAAAGCCATTCATGGACGCACGGACAGTGGACTCTCGTATCTGAATGTGTACGTGAAGCATTTAGGGCGAACAGGTGTTGCGGTCGGAGGTTTGCTGGGTGAAGACGACCACAAAGATGCCATGATTCCCCAAGCGGATTAGAATAGGCCTGTGTTTCTGTCGGAAGGGACAGCGAGCAGCAAGACCTCCTTCTTCCGTGTCGTCAGTTGCACTGGCAATGTTCGGGTGACCGTACGAGTCGTCCCTACCTTGTGTAGGCACAGGGCGCGCTCTTTCTGTGGTAATATATATATATATATATATATATATATGGTTAATTCTAGTCCTGCGCAAAAAGTACTGACCCAAGAGACCCCGAAAACTACCCAGAGGAGCCGACGCTGGACCAGAACAGTCCTCGGAAGTGCCTAACACGTCCCCCGAGGCGGTCCCAACATAGCCGTAATAAACATACAGGACGACGTCCACCACGAATCACCTTTGTCGTCATCCTCCTTCTCTTCCGTCCTCTCTTGGGCCCCTTGTGGGGCAAACTGGGGGGTCCCTTTGCCACTTCTAGGCCACATTGGGGCCCTCTTTGGCCCTCTTGGGGTTCTCCTGTGTTGTATTTGCGGCCCTCTTGGCCGTCACAGGGGTCTCTTTGGGGCCGTCTTGGGCTCCTCCGGGGGCCCTCTTTGGCTATAGCTTGGGGCTCTCTCTGGGAAGTGCTGGGCCACACAGGCGCCCAAATCTTGAAAACACCCAGGGCTCGTGGACCGTGTTCCTTCGGACTTCGTTTCGCGGCAAAGGCAGATCGAAAACAGAACGAAGGGAAACGACAACAAAACGAAAACGAAAAGCATTGTTAAGCTCGAGCCCTGTTCAAAACTCAGGAAATCAAGGAGGTTGGCCTCTTCGCGCCCCCTCTGGGGGTTCTCTTGTCGCCCTCCTGGCCCGTCCTCGGCGTCTTGAGGCCATCTTGGGACGCCTTGGGGCAACCCTCTTGCCCTCTTGGAAGCATGTTAGGCACTCTTGGCAGCCGTGGTTGCTTGACTCGGCCGTCTTTGTAGTTCGGGAGCGCAACCCATGTGTTTCCCTGGGAGCGTGGCCATAGGGGCGTGGCTCCATAGTCGTTGCTTGCGCGAGATCGTGGTTTCGGGAGCGCGGGTCCATGGTTTCTTGGTGATATCTCGGGCCGCCTTGAGGCAGCACTGGCGGATCAGTGAGCGATGTGTTGGCCGTTATGGGACATCTTGGAGGTATATATGGCCGTCTTGAGTTGCAGGAAGCCAGGACATGCGAAGACCCTCACATTTTTCAACAAAAAACCTGGCGCAATCGATAATTTGGATTTCGTCGGGGCCTGCTTATGGTCATCGCGTCTCCCTCTGGCCCGTTTTCAAGACGGCCTCCTGGGCCGTCTTGAGGCAATTCTGGGTTGTCGCACTGCTGTATCAGGCCGCCTTCGGGGCATAGCAGGCCATCTTCGCGGTCTCGGTGATCTGCTTCGGCCGTCTCGGAAGTTCGGGTGCGCGGATCCATCGTTTTTGTTACGGGTTGCCGCAGCCTTTGGAGTGCGGATCGTGGTTTGGTGTGCGGATCCATGTTTGTTTGCGAGGAAGCGTGGTTTCGGGAGCGCGGATCCATTGTTTTTGGTTACCAGTGTCCGTAGCGTCGGGATTGGCAATGCATGCAACGGTATGCTGTTACTTGGGGAGGGCGGCGTTCGAACAGTATTGCAACACTACTTGACAGCTCGTGTCGTTATATCACGCCTCAACTTGCCAAGTGTCACGGTGGAGGAGAACCGAAATTGCCAGCATACGAACATCTTGTACCCACATGAGGGGAGTATCGGAAATGGTTGCCAGCGCCGATCCCTCACATTGAGTTATTGTCGTCTGGATGAGTAGAATATGAGGTGCACGCTATGTGGAACAAGAGATGTTGGGCAAAACATGTGGTGTGAGGTATGTGGTGTATTTCACGTGTTGCAAGCTATGCAACAGGAGGGATGTGTGGTGCAAGCTAGGTTCTCCAAGCTAGGTGGCGCAATATTTACTGGCCTTCGGCCCATCCCGCCACTGCGCCTGGGTCGTGGGGATGAAGCCCATTGGATGTTCGTTGGGATCTCGTGGGAGGCTTCTCGGGGGCCTCTTGGAGGCAGTTTCTGGACGCCTCTTGGGGGCCGTTTGGGGGCCTCTTGGGGCGTCTTCTGGGACTCTTGGGGGTCTCTTGAGGGCCTCTTGGGGACTCCTGGGCGCCTCTTGGGGCTTCCTGGGGGGGCCTCGTGGGGCGGGGGACTTGGACTTTCGTCGCGCCCGAAATCACCAGGCACGAATGGTTTGGCGGGCGGTGAAATTTGAGGAGTAGGACTCTTTGTCCACTCTTAGCCTGTTGGCCTCCTTGCCTCGTGGCCTTCGGCAGTCATGCTCCTGGCCGGTAGCCTCCTGCGGAGACTGAAGATTTGGAGGGGAAGTTCTTTGCTCGCGCCTGGCCCGTTCTGAGTGCGGAGTTTGCCTTGTCCGTCCGTCCGCCCGTGTCTGTCTGTCCTTGGTCGGTGCGTCGTCGCATGCACCAGGGGGCCTGGTGGACCCTGCGCGCGCTGCGTGGGCGCCAACGGGCCCCGCAGAGTCCGGGGATGCGCGCGTGCATCGCCCCTCGCGACGCTCGCCGCGTGCCGCCGAGCCTCCTCGCAGAAGCGCCGCGGCAGCCTGCCCCGCCCACCCGCGCCCTCGCGCTCCGCTGGTTGGGGCGCCCCGGTGGCCTCCCAGGGCGGACCCAGCCAGCTGCGCGCAGGTTTGTGGCCCACTGCACGCGCAGGAAGGGACACGACGAATAATGTGAGGTTCGCGCTCCCTCTTTGGGGCCCCTTTCGGGGGCCGTCTTGGGGCCCTCTTGGTCCGTTTTGGACGCCTATTAGGCTTTCTTGGGGCCCTCCTGGGATGCCTTTTGGGCCGTTCTGGGGCGGTCCTGGGAGCCTCTAGGGCTGTCTGGGAGCGTCGGGGAGCTGAAAAGGCGAGAATGCCAGAGTCGCGATCGATCAACAACCTGAGGATCATCGACGATTTTGGCCTTTGGGGGCCTTCTTGGAAAACACCCTGGTGGCCTCTTGAGGCGTCTTGGAGGCGTCTTAGGCCATCTTGGGGCCATCTTGGGCGTCCTGGAACGATCGTTCGGTGACTCGGTGCCCTCTTGGACCGTCTTGGGGGCGTCTTGGGGCTCTCAGGGTCCATCTTGGAGCCCTCTGGGGCCCGAAAGAATCACGCGCCCCGCCGCAACAAGAGCGACAGTCCCCGAGAGATTCGGCCATTTGGGCTCCGGGCCCCTAAGAGACTCCTCAGGAGTGATGACCGAGGCTCTGGTGAAAAGGCAAAGGACCTGAGGGCACGCCCACTCCGTGCCCGATGTGGCCAAACATTGGGCCAAAGCTTGGCCAAGTTATTGGACGGTGCGTTTCCCCAGCAGTTGTGGAAATCCTTGGGGGGGTCGTTTGGGCGAGGAAGAGCGGAGGAGGAGGAGGAGAGGGATGCAAACGAGGAGCCCGAAGAGGAAGAGGGTGCATTAGGGGCCATCCCGGGGTTCTCCTGGGAGCATGTTGGGGGCCTCTGATGGGGCCTCTTGGATTCTGGGGCCGCTTGGGGGTATCGAAGACGCCTGCGGCGAGTCAACCCGGCTCCCTGCCCTCGTAGTAGAAAGGGGTGGCACTTGTGTCCGATACACTGTGCGAATCAACTGCCGAGATCGATGGGCTCGTGCGAACGGGTCATGGCTGGGGCGCCTACGCGTCGCACCGCCCCACTGGACACATGTTGGGCACCGCCAAAAAGGATGTGACCTGGAGGGGAGAGCGACGGCACGTCAGACGTGACCCAGAGAGGGACAGAGCCCCGGAAGAGCGGGGAAAGCAGACGGGCGAAGGCCGAGACGATGTGAAGACAGAGGGAGGGGAGGGCAGGAGAGGCAAAAGGAGGCAGGGGACTCCGACGTGCACGAGGGGGGCGGAGGGTGCGCCCGCAGGGCGAGTCTCTCCATCGGTGGGGGGAGGAGGAGGACGGAGGTTGCGGACGGAAAGAGCGGCCGGAGAGGGGGGAGGACGGCGGCGACGATGACGAAAGGGAGGATGCTAGAACGACGCGTCAGAGCGAGGGTGAGGAAGACGAGGCAATATGATGGCGGCGAAAAGAGAGGACACGATGCGACGATGAGTGGGTCTCCGCCGCGCCACTTTTGGCGGTTCTGGGGCCCAGCCACTGTTAGGGCAGGCACCGAGCGAGGCCGAGCTCCCGTGCCAGTGTCCCCGCCTCCTGGCGTCCCTCCGTGCGCGCGCTGCTGAGTGCCCGCAGGCGCGCCGGCGCGTCCGCGGGTGGCCCGCGGGCAAGAAGTTCCGGCCTCGGGCCGCGCGTCCTCGGAGGATTGTCGGGCGTCGTGGATTTGGGGAGCACGGCGTAGTAGGCGCGCGTCGTGTCGGCCGGCGGCGGCCACGCCACGGGCGCCCAACCTAAAACGCCGCTGGCGGCCCAGAAGCGGTGGATGTGGAGCGATCTGACGAGTCGGACCCGGCCGATCGTTCGAGAGTGAACGATGCCCGCGGTGTCAGAAGCCAATGCGCGGAAGTCGGCACGGCCCGAACCTGCCGTGCAGTTGCAGCCACGACCAGCCACGGGCGTGCCCGTGCGCGAGTGACGCCCTGCCTGCGGAAGCCGAGCGGGCTGGGCGTCGTCGGTTCGATCTAGAATTTCCAGGCGCGCCGCGTCCGAGACGTCGCTGGCCGCCGAATGGGGCGGCCTCGTGCTCATCTCGGGGAACAGGCAACGACAGAAGCATATCAACTGGGACGTCCGCGCGGCTTCCTCGGATCGGCGCCGGAGCACTCTGGCGGCGCCTCCAGCGCCTCCCCGGGCGCGCCCGGCACGCCAGGGAAAAGGGTCCAAGGCCGATGCGAGGAGTCTGCGCGAACCTCCGAGGTTGTATGCTCATGCCATGGCCTGTTCCCCTCATGCCGCCGTCGTCGGCGCCGCCCGTCGATCGTCGCCGTCGCCTTGGGTCGCCGCCGTCGTGGACGACCGCACAGCGCAGCCCTGCCCGCAGGAGGCTGTCCGCGACGCCCGCCGCGGCGCCGCCAGCGCGGGCGGCTGCTGCCCCGGCGGCCACAGGCGTCGGGGGCGCGGACGAGTCGCCGAGCAAGCCCAGACCGAGAAAACGTCGCCGTCAAATCCGCCGTGAGTCGTTGCAGAGTAATGAGGGCAGGAGTGTTTCAGGGAGGGGGTCGACATCGGGGGGCTCTCGCCGGGCCCCACACAAACGACCCCGCATGGAAATCCGGCCCCGGGACATGGGTCGGGATTCCTGAGGACCCGGATAGTGAGGATGAGCCATTTTCCAAGGTCATCTTCGCATCCCTCCCATTTGGCCCATCTTTGGCCGCTTTCGCTGGCCGCGGCCCGCTCGCAAGGTGTCGGCAGGGCCTCCCAAGGCCCTTGCATCCTCATCGTGCGTCCTTGTCGTACGGATTGACCGTGTTGAGAAAATCAGTATGTCGCCTGTCTGGAGACGGGTTCCTCGCCAGCGCAGTGACTCTGCCTAGCCGCCGACGTAAAAAGTCTGGGGACAAGTCTTGGGGGAACCAGGCCCCGAGGTGTTGTTCGCCTTCTTGTGGGGCGGGGCCCTCCCGGGGCCCCGCGGCCGTCCAAGGAACCCTCAGGATGGAGAGCCACGACCCGGAATCCATCGGGACGTTCTGAAAAGGGAGGGTGTTTGGATTGGGGGATGTCACGGCAAGGGCCATAAGCTCTCTCAGGTCAGAAAGAGCGCGTTCTGCAGTCGCTTGGAGGGGGGGAGGGGTTGGAACCATACAGCCCCCCCCCTGGATTGGAGGTGGGGGGCTCGAACCCCCCTCACCCCCCCGTCCCCGCAAGGCACCAGCGTAGGTGTTTTGACGTTGAACCCCCTTAAAGCCAACCATGATAGTAAGGATGGGGCAACTTTCCAAGGCTACCCTTGCATCCTTGTCCCTTCGGTGTTCGGCATCGTTCGGTATTCTGCTGCGCTCCGCACGCAAAACGTCAACATGGCGTTTCAAGGCCTTTGCATCCTTACCGCGCATCCTTACTATCCTGGTCGACTGTATGCGGATGATCTGCCCTGTCCTGTCCGTAACGGGGTGGGGTGTTCGAGCCCCCCCCCGCTCCCTGCTCCCCCTCCTCCTCGGGCCAGCGCCGGCGTCGTCGGCGGCTGGCGGCGGCGGCGGGGACGGCGATTTCCTCTTCTGGCCCGCCGCCGAAGCCCGCGGCGGCGGGCGGCGGCGGCGGGGTGCGTCGACGAGGACGATGGGGACGACGATGACGGCAACGACGACGACAATGCTCCGCCACCGTGCCTTGCTTTTCCTGTCAGAGTCCCAATGGATGCCTCTTGGGGTCTCGTCGGAGGGCCCTCGGGGGCCTTTGAAGGGCATTTGTGAAACCTCCTGGGCGCCTCTTGGGCATCTGTTGGGCCCTCTCGGAGGTGGTGGTGGTGGTGGTGGTGGTGGTGGTGGGCTGTGGTGGTGGTGGTGGGTGTGGCGGAAGTGGTGGTGGTGGTGGTGGAAGTGGCGGTGGTGGTGTGGTGTATGGTGGTTGGTGGTGGTGGTGGTGGTTGTTGCGGTGGTGGTGGTGGTGGTGGCGGTGGTGGTGGTGGTGCGGTGGTTTTTGGTGGTGGTGGTAGTTGTGGTGGTGGTGGTGGGTTAAGGTGGTGGTGGTGGTGACGGTGGTGGTGTGGTGGTTTGTCGTAGTGGTTGTGGTGGTGGTAGTGGTGGTAGTGGTTGTGGTGGTTGTGGTGGTGGTGGTGGTTGTGGTGGTGGTGGTTTGGTGGTGATGTGGTGGTGGTTTGTAGTGGTGGTGGGTTGTGGTGCTTGTGGTGGTTGTGGAGGAAGGGCTGGTTCTGGTGGTGGTGGTGGTGGTGGTGGTGTGGTTGTTTGTGGTGGTGGTGGGTTATGAAGGTGGTGGTGGTGGTGATGATGGGTTGTGCTGCTGGTAGTGGTGGTGGTGGTGGCGCTGGTGGCGGTGCTGTTGTAAATTGTGGTGGTGGTGGTAGTGGTGGTGGGTTGTGGTGGTGGTGGTGAGTTAGTGTGGTGGTGGTGGTAGCTGAGGTGGTAGTGGTTGTGTGGTGGTTTGGTGGTGGTGGTGCTGGGTTCAGGTGATGGTGGTGGTGGTAGTGGTGGTTTGTGGTGATGGTGGTTGCGTGGTGGTTTGTGGCGGTGGTGGGTGATGGTTGTGGGCTGTGGTGTTGGTGGTGGTGGCAGTGCTGCTGGTAGAGGTGTGGTGGTGGTGGTGGTGGTGGGGTGGGTGGTGGTGGTTGTGGTTGTGGTGGTGGTGGTGTCGTGGTTTGTGGTGGTGGTGGTGGTTGTGGTGATGCTGGTGGTGGTGGCGGTGGTTGTGGTGGTGATGGTGGTGGTGATGGCGTGGTGGTTTGTGGTGGTGATGGTAGTGGTGGTGGTGGTGTGGGTTGTGGTTGTGGGTGGTGTTGGGGCCTCTCTGAGGTGGTGGTGGTGATGGGCTGTGGTGGTGGTGGTGGTTGTAGTGGCGGTGTGGTGGTTTGTGGTGGTGGTGGGTTGTGGTGATGGTGGTGGTGGTGGTGGCGGTGGTTGTGATGGTTGTGGTGATGGTGTGGTGGTTTGTGGTGGTGGTGGTGGGTGGTGCTGGATTGTGGTGGTGCTGGTGGTGGTGGCGTTTTTGGTGGTGGTGGTGGTGGTGTAGTGGTTTTTGGTGATAGTGGTGGTTGTGGTGGTGGTGGTGGGTTGGGGTGGTTGTGGTGGTGGTGGTGGTGGCTTTGGTGGTGGTGGTGGTGTGGTGGTTTGTGGTGGTTTGTGGTGGTGGTGTGGCCTTCGGCTCTTCCCGCCACCGTGTTTTGGCTGTGGGTCAGAGTTTGAATGGATGCCGTTTGAGGTCTCGTCAGAAGGGTCTCGGGGGCGTCTGAGGAGCATGTGTGAAGCCTCGTGGACCTTTCTACGGGCCTCTCGGTGGCTTTTGGGGGGCGAGGGCTCGATATGGCAATTTGTGTGTGTTCCCTCTGCGGCCTCTGGGCCCTCTCTGGTCATCGTCGCTGCGTCCCCGCTGTCGGCGCTGCTGGCCGCCGCCAGCGCCGGCGCCGGCGCCAGCGCCCGGGGGGGGGGGTTGGAACCCCCCTTCCCTTCCCCTCCCCCCAGGCTCTCTCTGGTCATCGTCGCTGCGTCTCCCCCGTCGGCGCTGCTGGCGGCCGCCAGCGCCGGCGCCGGGGAAGGGTGGGGTTAGAGGGGAGGGGAGCGCGCCCCTCTGGTTTTGATCGTCGGCGCCGAGTGTTGGGGGGGGGGCACCCCCCGATTCCTCAACGCGCCGCCGAATCTTCCCAAGGCAAGCGCCCGTGAAACTCGCGCTCTCTCTCTCTCTCTCTCTGTCTCACTCTCTTTTTTGTTTCTCTCTCTCTCTCTCTCCTGTCACACGCCCACTTTTCAGAAGATGCTGGGTCCGTGCGGAGTAAGCCCGTACGGAGTGATGGGGATCCGTCTGGGCTCCAGACTTGGCCTCTCCTGTGTTCGGTCTCCGTCCAGACTTTCTCCCACCGGACTTCCCTTCCTCCTCCTCCTCCTCCTCCTCCTCCTCCTCCTCCTCCTCCTCCTCCCGAGCTGCTGTTGTTTCAGACGTTTCACGGCCACCCCCCTCCTCCGCGCAGTTGCTTTGGGCCACGATGCGCCAGCCTCCATCCTCCGTGCCCCCCTCTTTTTGGGTGTTGCTAGAAGTGCCCCTGGCCCAAGAAGCCGCCAGGAGCTCCAAGGAGGCCCCCGCGGCTTCCAGAGCACCCCTCACGAGGCCGGGGCGGGCCCCAGGGGCTCCAAAATGGAACGAGAAGCTGGGGGCACCTTGGGCCAGGGGCACCTCGAACAACCCCCGACCTTCGGCGCACCCGACCAGGCTGGTGCCCCTCGGCAGCGCCCCGGCCGGGCCCAAAGCGGCGCGACCTCCGGGGGCCGCTGCCGGCCGCCCGCGGCCACCCGCGGCCACCCGCGGCCTCCGGCGGCCCTCGGCGTTTTTCGGCGGCCACAGGACGAGAAGGAGGACGAAGAACGAAGATGAGGAGGAGGAGAAAGAGGAGGAGGAGGAGGAGGAGGAGGAGGAGGAGGAGGAGGACGAGGAGCGTCGAAGGTCGAAATGTCGAAGGGTCGAAGATGCATAGATGGAATCCGCCTCGGCGCCTCGGCGCCGAAGAAAAAAGCAGCTCTCCCCGACGGGCGGGGGCGGCGACGAGGAGCCCGAGGGTCCCACCGACCAGGTGCACCCCAGCAGCGGCCCTACCAGGAGGGGCGCGCCAGTCCGTCGGAGCGAAGCTTGGCTGTGAGCTGGTTCCCCCCCCACCCGGAGCAACCGTTGCTCGGTCTGGGCCCGAACGGCGGTCGCTCACAAAGGGATGGGTTGCGCCACCAAGAGCGAGCGCCAGGGCGACGGCGAGCAAGAGGAGGAGGAGGAGGAGGAGGGGGAGGAGGAGGAGGAGGAGGAGGAGGAGGAAGAGGTGGGGAAGGAGGAGGAGGAGGAGGTGGAGGAGAAGGAGGAGGTGGAGGTGGAGGAGGAGAAGGAAGAAGACAAGACAGGGAGGAGGAGGAGGTGGAGGTACAGGGGGAGAGGGGAAGGGGAATGGGAAGGGGTACGAAGAGTCAGTGGCTGTCCCTGGCGCCAGCGCCCGCCGCGTGCCGCCGCCCAGCCCCGCTGGCAGCTCCAGCGCCGAGCGCCGGCGCCCTTCCCGCCAGGCAGCGGCTCCGAGCCTGGCAAGCGGCGGCCCCAAAGCGGCAAGGTGGCGCCTTCCGTCCGCCGTCGTCTGGGGCGTCCATCAGCTGGCGCGCTGCGGCGTCGTGCCCGCTGCGGCGACCGCGGGCCGCCAGCCGCCCAGGTTCGCGTAGCGCAGGCCAGCCGCTTCGCGGAGCAGTCGCGCTGCGGCGGCCCGCAAGCCGCTGCTCAGAGACCTGTCCGCGCCCTCTCCCGCGGCTGATGGTCTTCGGGCAGCAGGCGCGCCTGCCCGAGCAGCCAGGGGCGTCCCTCGGCGCCGAGCCGCCCTCCCGCCTCGAGGACGAAGGGCGTTAGCCTGGCGCCAGGGTAGCGGGAGTGGGAGTGCTTGTCTTGCTCTCCGCGGCAGCTGGCCACCCACCCTCAGCTGTGCT